GGTTCCTTCGTATCAAAGGCTACATACAATTTATAACTAATAACTTTATAACATGAAAAAAATTTTATGAAAATTTTGGAAAATCCGGCAAAAAAATGCTTAATTCTAAAAAAATTGTGCCAAATTTTTGTTAATTTTAAGCAGAACTTCAGTAAGTGAACAAACTCTGGTTCGTATGTCGACATTGGTTCCTTTGGAAATGAGCATACGAACAACATCATTAAATCCGGCAGCCGCGGCGCAGTGTAGGCTCAGTGCACCTAGAATATTCGTTGAAAACTAAGCGTATTTTGAATTTTGTTTTGGAATGAGAAAAACATCGCTAAGACTAAGGAAAACTTTAACTGAGGGAAACTTGTTAGCTGACATTTCGACGCTTTTTTATGACTGTTTTTCACGCCGGAAAAAAAGTACCTCGTTTGTTGGGCATGTGTAACGGTACGCCACGTTTTAGGAATACCAGTGCGGTTTCGGCATGACCGCTAAGTGCAGCAACATGCAGCAATGTACTGCCATCGCGAGTTCGTGCTCGTATTGAACCGCCAAATTTGTCGATCAGCAGCTCCACAACATTTGTATGTCCAGCCGCTGCTGCTACATGTAATGGAGTCCAATCTTCCTGAATAAATTTTTTTCTTCATTGGATCTTTTTTAAAATTTACCGATTGCCAATTGTGCAATTTTGGCGATATTCAGAACTGACTACCAAAAAAAGGTTGAGGTAAATCATTTATAATTTCCCCTTTTCTATTTTTTATACTACTTTTACTCCTGTCTTTTTTTTCTTATTATTATCATTTTTCACATCTTTTTCCATTCCTCCTTTTCTTTTTCAATTAGAACGCTACATACGTTCCATTGACAAGTGACAGTTGTAGTGTTTAGTAGAATGTACACTATTTAAATAACCGGAACATTCTTTTTCAAATTTATCTTTTTTTTTCTTCCTCACTTTGATTTAATTACACTTTACCCTAAGTCATATTTTTTTCTGTCTTAGTCCGTTCTACCCAGAAAAGTAATTCAGAGAAGCCAAGTTTGAATTTTTGATTATTATTATTATTTAGAGTTCCACGCCAAGCTACGCTTACCACCGCGCCATCCTTCCCTTTATTCTCGACTGGGAATAAAGCTTCTACTTTGACAACAAGCCTTGATCAGCCTTGACCAGGGGGCATTTGACTATTTTCAGTAGATGACCGGTGAAACTACGACTATTTCCAAAAAACAAATAATGACAAGTGCGAGAAATCTCTGATTTTTATTTTTTTTCACAGCCTGACTTTTTTGTCCACTTTTTAATACTTGTTGTCTTCTAGTTGGTGGTACTCAGATAATGTTGCCTTATTACAAACTAAAGACTGATACCGGCTGTCAGTGGTTTGTAAAATCAAAGATCATTTACCAAAATAAATCTCAAAAATTCTACGAAATCAGGACCTACTAAACTAGGAAGCCGGTCTACCAAAGCACTCAAATAACTGCCTTTCGTTTTCAAAACATCATTTCCGAAGTTTAAAAATTGTCTTCTCTTGGTCCTTTATCCAAATCGAGATAGATTACCTTATCGGCGATGTTAGGGTTAGCTTTCAGTCGATGAAGGATTTTCAAGGCAGCAACATTGCCTTTTGAGGAAGCCTCATGAAGTGCTGTCCACCCAACTCCATTTACCGCATTCACATCAATTCCATCAAAATTGACCAGCAGCTGCAGCATATCGGTATTATTGGATCGACATGCAACGTGCATTAAAGTATCGCCGTTCGCATTCACCTGCAAATCGATTTATTTCTTTCATATCATTCAAAAT